GAGCCTCTGGCGCAGCGCTGCCTGTGCAGGTGAGCGCCTGCACCTGCAGGGAACTGCCCCGCAATATGCGCGGGGTGGGTGCTGTTGGCTTGAAATCAGCGACTTACACCTTTCATGTACTGAATGGAAATTTGGGGGCATCTGTCAAAAGGGAGACAGGAGAAGGAAAAGGGAATGTCATTATAACAAAGGTCATACAGAAAATTGACTTCAAATACAGAATTACCAGAACATCTAATGCAAGAGGGGAGTCTTCTGTCTGTCTTTTTTTTAATTTATTAAATACACAATTATGCCAAGCTTTTTCTTGAAACTGTGGATGCCTGCCTGGGCCACTTCAGCCATTAGAGTTCAGACTATTCCAAAAAACTCAGCAGGGGAAAAGAGAGAAAGAAAGAAAAAAATCAGCTGAGAACAGCCTCTTAATACATAAGAATAACCAGAAGTGATTCAAAGCCATTCTACAATCCATTTTTATGCCCACTGTAAAGGGGAAAGTATGCTGATTAGAATAGCAAAGGGCTCCTTGTTGCTACAAAAACTTGCAATGGAAATTTTCAAAGAAATAATATTTATATTCTCAGGAAAATGTGAATGAAAATACTGATACTGAAGAGGAAAAAACTGCTGTGTGTTTTTGTTTCTAACACGTATTTCTTATGCTATCAGGTGGATTGAATTGTTGCAGGTAGACAAGTTTGTGTGTGGGAAATCTATTCCCATTTAACTTTAAAGACAACACGTTGTAAATTTTTATAATTTTCTTAAGTATCACTATGAAGAATTATATTATTGCCTTGGGTCTGCACTTTACAAACGTGTTTTTGTAACTACCTCAGGTCCATTTGCATTCACTTACACTTATTGTGTCATGAGAAGAGCAGATTGTTCCTTAGTCTTGCTCTCTAGATGCATCATTAGTTGCTTTCATGTGACACAGGAGTCTCCCCTCTGCCGAGGGAGGGACATAGCTGCTATCTGTATTCAACACGGAGCTTATCAAGAATGCACCCATGTCAGAAACACTAGGCAAAAGCAGAAGCATTTGGCCACCAGTGAATTGTCGATGATCTAGGCACCCTAGCACTAACACACATTCAAAACTAAACAGTTTGGATTAACAGTATTGTGGTGTTTGAACACATCAGACAAAAATATGTTTATTTTTATGTAAAGCCTTTAAACAAGTTGAACTGTATTTTTATTCTGAGTAAGGATCCTTTTAATTTTTTAATCATTTCTAAGATACCAAAGGGCTATAAATTTTCTATATACTATATTTTTAAGAAATATATTACACTGTAACTGCAGTAGTGAAGTTCAGTCTAAAATACATTGCCATATGTTGAACTGATATGGGTGTTGACTTTCCAGAAAAGAGAGTCAGTTTAATAATTTACTTTCTCAGGAAAAGCACATGTTTTCCTAATCTTATTGGACTGAATGCACACTCAACCTTTTATACCAATGATATGTTTGGATTCTTCTGTTTTAGTAAATTAAAATACTCAAAAATACTTTAGAGACATAGTTTTTCTTGTGAGTACAGGATTTCTGTCTACTGAACAGCTCAAAAAAATCACTGGGTGATACTTTCTTCTTTCTCCTTTGGTAAACTACAGCCAATCTTAATTTTGTGTGATTCCAAAATGAAAATCTGAACTGCAGGGATCTGTGCTCTGGTGGTTGAAAGGCTGAGCTCTGGGTATAAATTGTTGAGGTCTCATTTCTCTTGAGACTCTCTCACAAGTCTGTGCTTGTGCTCAAATGCTCCTCACAAATCTTCTGTGAGATGTTTAATTGTCCACAGATGAGAGGCTGAGGTTCGGGTGTTGAGCAAGTTACCAGGTTTTCTCAACAAATTTTTATGGCTGTTGGGGTGTGGGGGGGTGTGTGTGAGATCTACTTGTTCAGGGAATCTTATGTAAGTCTCAGAGTGGAGCTGCAAGAATGGCAACTAGCAAAATGCCACTTACCACTGGCGTTTAAAGCCTGAGACAGAGAAAGCCAAAGCCAAAGGGAACAACCGCTGCAGAGCTCTGCTGACTTGGGCCTCTGGAGCTTAGGCTCCAGTGGAAGTGAGAATATCTGTCCAGGCTAGTGATAATGCCTTTTGGCAGATACTTTTTGGCAATTATATCTGAGCTGACTCTTACTACTGCCAAACAGCACTTTGTCAAACTCCTTGTTGCCTTTCCTCCTTAAGGCAAGCAAGGTTTCTGTCTTAATTTCTCCTGTGGATTCGTTCCAGAGAGTTTGGTTGTGGCTTAGCATGTGTTTTTGGATTATGGGTCCTAAGCAAAGTTGCAAGTAGTTAATTTAAGGTAAATTCTGTTTCTGGCCTCTGGAGAATGAAAGCATGCACTGAGTTTCAGTTAGGATATATACAAGTGATTCCTACTTGAATCAAGATGAGGCTTGTATGATCTGATTAGACAAAACTGCTTCTATAGCTGATAAGCAGGATAAGTTTAATAAGCAGTGGGAACAATTTCTCTTACAGGTATGCTGGAATCCTCCTTGGAATCACAAATTCATTTGCCACCATCCCAGGAATGGTGGGGCCAGTTATTGCCAAGAACCTCACTCATAATGTAAGTCTACTTACTGTTCGTTTTTTTTTGGGGGGGGAGAAGGGTGTTTTTGTTGCTGTTGTCTTTCTGTATTTTGTCTCTGAATGTAAATGAATGTAAATTCAAAGATGTATGTATATAGCACTTAAGAACTTTAGTGATTCAGTCCCTATTTCTAGGAAGATTTGCATGTTTTTGCCACATGTTACAGTTCTCTTAAAATTCCAGCTGCATGAGACAGTTGTAGAATTGTTTTGTCAAAGTAAGACAGGCTCCTCCATATTTTTTTTTCCTAAAATCAATCTCCCAAATAAGGTGTTGAGTTGCAAGGTCAGCATTTGCCAGATGAACAAGAAACTAGATTCAGGTATATGGCTTTTGTAACATTCTGTTTTAATTATTCTATTCTGGTATTCTAGCTATTCAGAACATTCTGAGCTATGTTAGTTTCCCAAGACTTAAATAGAACACTAAGTGTTAAATTTGACCTCCAAAATGGTATAGCTGGACAGAAAGTGTGATTTAAAAGTGTGGGGCTTGGGGTTTTCTTTGTTTTTTTTAAAAGTGGGACAGAAGTAGGTTGTTTGCATTTTAAATGAACTAGAGGAGTTATTCTAAAATATATTAAGAAAGGAAAATGGGAAGAACAAGTTTATTGATGCAATTGAATTTCTGCCATTTGTGATCGCTCCAGTCATTTCTTAAATAAACTGAAAGTATTCACTAATGCAAAAATTCAAACAAATAAACTTATCCCAGGCAGGTTTCAGCAATTCTTCCCCACCCCAGTATGAATGTGCTGTTCTGGTGTTGTTCAGTTTTCTGTCTAACAAACATTTATACATTTGCTAAAGTACTCATCTGCAATCTCAAAAGAGAAGTAAAGCCTTAAAAAAACTGCATGCTTTATTCATAAAAAGTCCACAGTTGTTTGTTCTGCATGTCTTCAAAATGTTATAAAAATATGCTGAGTTCAGAAGATTCTCATTGAAATCTGAGTAAAGATAAGTATCTTGTTTGAGCAAAATTCACATATAGCTAAAATGCTAATGAGTCTGGAAACCACCTCATAGTCATTAACTTGCTCTTAGTGTGGGGAGAATGTCTGCTCTGGAGCCAGCTGACCTGAAGGCCAAGTAGTGTTTCCATTAACTTCATGTTCTCTGCATGTCTGTGTAGTCCTCTTGCAAATCTGAACTTGGATATGAAGACTGTGCATCTGAGGAGATAAACTTCTCCAGATTACCTAGTGGGATTTTGATAGGACTATGTGTATGGTGGGTTATTAAACTGAAGTGGACTTAACTGGCAATATGATCTTTTGTGTTTATGCTTTTATGTTGATATGAAATGATGCTGTATAGCATTTACATGTAAATTGGCAGGCCATGTAGCATCTGTTTTAGAAATTCTTTTTTTATGCATGTGGAGCTGCTAATTGACTGCATTTTTTTTTTCTTCTTCTTTGACAGAATACCGGAGAATGGCAGACTGTTTTCTATATTGCTGCTTCTATTAATTTATTTGGAGCAATTTTCTTTGCATTGTTTGGAAGTGGAGAAGTTCAGGACTGGGCAGTCAGTGGTTATCACTTGCACAGAAACTGAAGAAGACATTGAAATACCAAAACTGTGCTGAATCCCTATGTACTAGAATTATGTGTCCAGAAAAGTGCCTTTCCTGCTGATGGCTAGGAGCCTTCAGAGCTTTTCAGTTAACTGTTTTATCTGTGTATCTTTTGTACTGGAAATCATTGACAGCATATATATGTTACTTCCTAACAAGAAACTACTTGAATTATAATAGAATGGCTTCACGTTAGGGCTTGATATCAAATATATGATCAGAGAATTAACACTTTAAATTGATGGGCTAGGTTCAATTTCCTTCCAAATTTTAATTAATACTCTTCTGAATTAATAAGTAGGAGGATGTTTGATACTAAAATGAAAGGAAGAAGTGATTGTGTAGTAGCATAAGGAGGAATGGAATACAGAAAATTGTACACAAAAAGCAGTGCTCTTATTTCCATAATAAGATTGGTATGTATGGTGTTTAAATGTTTGGAAAATTTCTAGTTTTCTACAGTCTTTTATATATTTTTGCCAGTGTTTTAATTGAAGTCTAAGAAATGCACAGATGGTTTTATTCAATTTTATGCACAACTTATCAATATATAAACACTTTCACAAATACAGTTTCACAACGGCTGTAGAACAATGAGGAAGTAAAATATATGGTTGTGACTGTCAGAGTAAGCCATGTGTTACTGTTCATAGGCCTTATTTTTATTCATCTGTGCAAAGAAGTGGTGCAAATCTGTGGTTTAAATCTAGGCAGTGTAAAACGTGAACTAGAAATGGAATGTCTAGATGTTTACATTCACATAACTTTCAATTTGGCAGTGCAATTTTTGGCTGTTAATTGCTACTGTGTTATTCTTTCCTCTTGCTTGTAGATATATGTCAGCTTGTCAGTGTAAATGTATTAAAATAAGGCCAGGGCAGGGCATAATGAAGGAAATCAATTCTATAATAGTCTTGTTAGATAAAAGTAGAATAAAAAGAACTAGTGCAATATCCTGATGCTGTTCTCCCCTCAGCATAGAATTTGACACTCAAGCCTGCTTAGCACAACACGCAGTAGAATAAAATGAAGTCTGTGAAAACAGTGGCCTAGTTAAGAATGAACCGCTGAGTAATCTTGTCACAAAGCAAAGGAAAAATACCGTGCCAAAGACTCCTGGACTTGAGCAATTGGTTTAAAAAAAACACTTAAAGGGCTCTGGGCTTTCAGTATACCACGGATTCAAAATAAAAACTCAGTCCTGAAGCGGCTCCAGTGGAGCCTACCTTCCTTCATTTCTGGGAAATGGCATCTGCCTTTTACTAGCTTTAAGAGCCGCTGTAACGTTTTGACCTTCCTTGTCCTGTCATGTTTTCTGATGGTGGGAGTGTTTAAATCTGTGTTTGTGTCTGCAGCATTTCCACAATAAATGATGTGAAGTTCAGATGAAATTAGTAGTTTTTTGGTGGGAGTATGTTAAAGCTATGTTGCATCTCCTGTGTTTCCCCAATAAATGGAATAAATCCTCAAATAATGCCGCAGTTCTTGAAAGTGGTCATCTCCTAGAAGGTAGAATACAATTCTCCTAAAGTATGCTGAAGGATATCATTGACTGGATTATGGGATAGCTAATGGCTTCCTGAAGAAATACCTGCTTCATCTGCTTCTTATCTAGCTTTACAGGTGAGTAGCATCTCCCACTTGACACTATATTAAAAGGAAGTTTCACTTTGCGTCCAGAAAATTGTATTTGCTTGTTAGCTTTGTATTAAAAAAAAAAAAAAAAAAAAAGTTTGGAGATAATATATTGAATTAATTTACTTCTCTTCTAGAGGTCATGAGTGGGGCAACATACAGGGTTTCTGTTTTGTCTGTTCTGAAGGCGAAACTTTAGCTTTTTATGTTCTCAATCTTTTTCCATTGAAAAGAATTGAATTTCAAAAGAAAAAATACATATGTAAGAGAGCAGATACAGATTGTCTGATACTTCTGCTATATTACTGAAATAAGCCTGAGTTAGGTCTGGTGAAACTGAATCAAATTTAGGCATATCAGCTGGACTAAACAGTCCGGAAATTTCTGACCTGGATACCAGTTTTCTTCTTATTATTATTCATCTAGTGCATCATTAATGCTTCTATTGTATACTGTGACACTGAAGTGAATTTGTGCAGAAAGGGAAACTGGAAGGAAGAAAAAAGGAGGAAAAAAAAAAAGCTATAAATTGTGATATATTTTTCTAAACAATAGGCTACAACTACCTTGGTTGGAAATCATTATTTCCAACTTAATTTTAAAAGAAACAGCAAGAATCCCAGTCCGACAAAGCTCTTAGACACTTAACAGTTTTACCTTTCTGCATCATGCTCAGGAAAAAAAAATCTGTAGGAAAATGTGTCAAAATGATTTCTGCTAATTATTATATTTCTGTGTTGCATTGCCATGTTCCTGTTCACACATCTGTCAGTCAATCTGTTTCATCTCTGTTTGGAAACTGCAAAATGATCTGCATTTTCAGAAATGATGTTTGTTTTAACTATCTCTAATTTCAACTCACCTGTGTGAGACAGGGTTTAGGTTAGAACTGGGCAGGCTTTTCAGTTACTATTTTTCTACTGAAAATAGCATTTTGATTGTTGTTTTATGCTGAACTTCCTCCACAGATTTACCCAGGTAAGAAGCTGTGTTCTCTACTTTTCCATCAGGAACCCTCTGATTAGGATGGCCCCCTGGAAGACCAAAGTCAAGAGGTCAAAAACAGTTTTTGCCCCTTTCAGAGCAGGAGCTGTTCACTGCTTGGGAGCATCTCTTAATATTGCCAGGTACCTTCTCCTCGATGTCTTCTGACACAATTCTGCTTTTACACAGAATGTCTAATTTTTTTTTGAACATAAAGTGACATACAGTGCAAGGCCCTACACCTTTAATTGTTATTAAACGGTTAGCAGAATACTGTATAACATTAACATGAGAGCACTGACAAGTGCCTTCATTGCTCTTTCAAGAAGAGAAAGGCCCAGGTATATGTTTTTGTTGTTACTTTTTTAAAAAAAAAAAATTGTCTTTATTTCAGGAGACCAAGTTGGCAGTCAGACTCCTTAAAGAAACCTGGAGTGTTTTGACACCAAAAATGAGTGAACTTACGTAGGATTTTTTTTTTTTTTACATGATAAAGCAATGATGGTTTACATGACTCAGTGCACATGCATCACTGCGTCTTTCCTAGCTGCATGTTCCTCCATAATTAGTCATGACTATATGCTGTGTGGAAGGGTCATCTTTCCCCAGAGTTGAACTATTCCTCTCATTATTTTTTTTCCTCTGGTTTCTGTTCCCAATTCTTATTTTACTCAGAACTTCTCTCCTTCTTTCTGGGAGTGTTTGAATCCATAATATATGGATGGAGTCTAACAGTTCTTCTATTTTTTTTTTTTTTAGCATTTGCCAGAAAGGACAGGTAAGTTCAGAAGCTTACACACTATGAAGGTAAGTGAAGGAAAAAGTCCATATGGAAAGGTACTCTCTTCTAAAAGAACACTTACAGTTTCTGGGAAAAACAGGCATAGCTTTTAAACTTTTAAGCCTCTTCTCTTGCACCATTTGCTCAAGCACTGCAACTGGAACAGTGCTAGCATGTTTTGAAAGCTGTCCCTTACAGTGACTAGAATCTTAAGAGGGTCTCCCATTCTCCTGCGTACCTAGGGCTCAGAGTGCCATGTCTGCTCTTACATCATGTCTCCTCAAATTATCTCTCACAAACAGCTGTTGTTGGCTGGCTGGGTCCTCTTCTGAGACCTATGGGTAAAGATGCAGCTGCTGGTTAGTACAAGGGCACTGCCTTGTGTTATACTTCAGATCAGACACATCTTCTAAGGAAATGATATAGTTTGCCATGAATGATTTGGTATTAACGTAATTTGCTTTTACTATGTCAAGTGTGAGGAAACAATTATATTAGCAGTACTGTATTTACCAAGAGCAAGGCAGACGCTCATGAGTTTTGCCAGCTGTACACACAGGAAGCTTCATGGGGGTGGATATTCAAATGCCAGAAGCAGCCTTTCATGATTTTGCTAATGTGCAGGGCACTAGTGATGTTTTCCTTTTCTCTATATTCACAAAATATATCCATTGCGTCTCTACTTTCCTTTAAAAAAAGGCTAGTCTCTACTTCTCACAACGTCCAGGAAAAGCTGACAGGAAATCCCTTTGTTACTTTTCAGGCTGGAGGGGGCAGCCTTTTTTTCTATTTTGTATTAATATCAATCAGAACTATGCCATAGTAAGTAGTAAAGGCTACAAAATCTTTAGAGCACCAAATACTTAAGAAACAGAAATCAGTTAGCCACACAGGTCTCTTTTCTATAAAGATAAGTAATGAGCTTTGTTTTTAATTGCATTTGTTAGAAGCACAGACCAATTTGTTGGATTAGTCAGATCAAAGCCTTGCTTACTTATATTAAAAGTGGTCTATTTCTCAAGTCGTTGCAGATTAGGCCATATGAGTATTGCTACAGTTTTATAGCATTACCTTTTTAGCTAAATCTCACTTAAACCTTGACAGGCAGCTAAAGCTTTTGTGTCAAACTGAAATGGATTAGACGTGCATCTAGTTCTGCTGCCTTTGCTTCCACCAAGCCTGCAGAGAGGTAAAGCAGGTGAGCATTAAGTGAAAATGTCTAAAGCTGCCCAGTTAAACTTTCTGAAATCTGTGTTGTTTCCTTTGCCATTTCCTTATCACCAGAGAGGGCCTTAACACAATCAATGAAGTGTATCCTCCCCCCACAATATGTCTGGGGTAAGAGGCATTTCATAATAATTGGAGTTGCAAGGAAAACGTAGACTGTAGTTACTCAAAGCAGTGTTCAGCTACCTTTTAGGACTAACACCTTTTTCTAGGAAATAAGGCTGAAGAGTCTTTCAGTGACCACAAACTGACTCTACAAACTTTCCATCTACTTTTCCTAAAGCAGCTAGTGCAACTGTAATTTAATTCATAATAGCTATTTATTAGCTAATGATATTGTTTGCTTTCATGGTAGTGTTCATGGGCCCCCTGGGTTAGACCTCATACAAAAGGTTAGTTCGTTATGCTTATTTGAAATTCTCTCCCTTCCCCAACAGAGTCGCAAATAGCCAGTAACTTTTAAGTTAGGGTGTTAGTAAGTAACATTTTGTACGATTCCAATAAGACTCAAATTAACATTTTTGTAAGAAAAGGATCTGCAAGGAGATACCAGCAGTTATTTACATGCCCAGCGGCACAGCAAATGGCGGGCACAAAGACATGTCCAATCATACAAACGTATGATCAACCATACTATGTCAGCAGAGGCAGAATTTTATGAAGGAAAAGTTGTAAAGGT